GATTATCGGCCAGGTTGGCACAATTAACTAACTCAGGTGGGTAGCCTCAAAGTCAGCAATTGAAAACCACCATCTGAGACTTTCTACTCCAGTAGAGAGTTACCATCTGTCTCAGAAAGCCCCAGGGGCAGCTCTGTTCTGCCCTGTAGGGTCGCCATAGGTCAGCGTTGACTCAGTGGCAGTGAGCTGGGTTCGGTTTTGATCTGCTCAATGCAACATGTCTATGGGTCACTCCACAGTGGACCACGGGACAAATATGGCCCACAGCTAAGGATGGCATTTACATTTTTTAAACGATTGGAGAAAACAATCAGCAATAATGTTTTGTGACAAAAAACAAGCACCTAGAATTCAAATGTCCCTGTTGAAAAGCAATGCTTTATGGGAACCCAGCCACAGCGTGTGTTCACATGCTCCCTGGGGCGGCAGACAGGCCATGTGGGCATTGACGCTGGAAACAGGTACCATCCACGTAGAGATGCCTCTGCGGGTTTTTGAGGCCGTAACTCTCGAAGAGAATAGGAAGTCTCATCTTTCCCCTGAGGAGGGGCTGGTGGGTTTGATCTGCTGTCTTTGAGGTCAGCAGCCCAGTGAATCACCCACTCTGCCCACAGGGCTCCCTAGAGCGCCCCCCCAGCCTCTGTCCGTGGTGCTTGAACTAATTGAAGGAGCTTCATGACTGTCCTGGTTTCCCTTTTCATGTGACCTGAGTTTGTTTCTTGAAGGGGAACTCTAATTAGCATAGCCTGGTAACAGCACTGTCACAGGGAAGAATGGACATCTAAACCATCACTCACTTGATAGAGATAGCTAGCTAGCTAGATGATAGATAGATAGATAGATAGATAGATAGATAGATAGATAGATAGATAGATAGATAGATAGGAGGGAGGGAGGGAGGTACGTAGGTAGAAAGAGAGTTGCAGATTTTTTATTTTCCATTTGAAGACAGACTAACAGGTATGGTACATGGAGGGACTGGATGAGGATGTCAGGCAGCTAAATCCTCCGCGCTCATCGGGACAGTTCTGGAAAGCCAACTCGGGTGGGGGGAGACACTCATGGTTATGAATTATAAATAAATCTTGATATACATTCTCATGACTGGGCACAGTCCCTCCAATAACCCCTGTGTTAGTCTGGGTACTTTAGAGAAACAAATCCACAGAAACTCATGTATAAGAGAGAGTTTTCTATAAAGGTTAAGTGCTCATCAAGAAAACATCCCAACCCAGTGCTGCCCAGCCCACAAGTCCAACATTAACCCATTAACCCATATGTCCAACACCAACCCACAAAGTCCTCCTCCATCTCACAAAACA